TTTTTTAGTAAAAAAAAAGGTACACGCACACAAATCCAAGTCTCTTTTGCAGATGGCATGGAGGAGACCCAGCCCTCCTTCCTGGCCACCAGAACAGCGGCCTTCCACGGTTGGCTGGACGTCGGTTGTTTCTCTGCAGCTGCAGGAGAGGTGTGCTGTGCTCACAGGACCGCACACTATCGAGAAACAGTCGTTTTCACTCCACGCAGCGCCAGGTCGTTGGGTAGCACACCCTGTCCCTCCCAGGGCTGCTCGGCCTGTGAGGACAAACCCTTGTTTATGCAGCCAGTCTCCTCTCGCGAGAGTTAAAGGTGGGAGCATCTCTGGTCACTCAGCCATATCCTCTCGCGAGAGTTTAAGGTGGGAGCATCCTTAGTCACTCAAGCCAGTGTCTTCTCGTGAGAGTTTAAGGTGGACGCATCCTTAGTCACGCAGCCAGTCTCCTCTCGCGAGAGCTCAGGCTGCTCCAGTTTTTCCCATGACCCAGGGGCCTCAGAAGCCAGCTCTGCAGCTGCTCGCTGTGCCCACCCAGGACTATTTCTTCAGCTCCGATTCCGGGGAGTTGTGGGGTGAGGGTGTGGGGTGAGCACGCGTGGGAAACCTCTGTCCTTGAGCTGGGCTTCCAGGGCTCGGAGAGGGGAGAGGTGGACGGAACCCCGTGGCCAGAGCGCGAGGGTGAGAAACGGCAGCGAGAACCCCCGGGGCAGACTTGGCCGCTTGTCCTGAGTCTCAGGGAAGCGGCGTCTGGCCGTGACGTTCTGCGTCCTCCCTGCCTGGGGCAGGGGCTCCCCGGGGGCAGCCCGAGCCGGGAGCTGGGGACACCAGGAGCTGCGGTCACTCCGATACTGGCCGGGGCGGGCCTCCAGCCCCGGGCCCGCTGCGCCCCGGGCCGCGCCCCCACGCGGGTTGTCCTTCTCAGGCTCAGTCTGATGGCTCCTTGCTGGCTCCTGGCCTGCAAAGCACTCCGTGGCCGCGGTGACTTCAGGAGACTCTGCTGCCCGCCCGCGCCACGGTCTGCCCCACTGCGCGTGGTCCTCCCAGCCTCGCAGCTTCCGGCCAGAATAGAGTCACTGTCAGTCATCCTCTGGCAGGTCTCCTCTGTCCCCTCACCCCCATCCCCTTATTCGCACCACCTTTCTCTCTGGAGGAGCCTGCGCCGCACCGGGTAGGAGCCAGTCCATGACAGCCAAGGCCAGGCCAGGGGCTGGGATTCGAGTCTGTGGTCCACGGGGAGCTACATTGGTCTCCAGGGAACTTGCAGAATAATACCTAGTCTTCTCCATAATCCAGAACCCTCACCCTTCCGCTCCCCAATTGTCCCGGCATCCAGGCCCTGCCTCCTCCCCTGCCGTCCATCCGCTCCTTCCCAGCACTCTGCACTCGGGCAGTGGCAGATGGGGAGGGGCAGGGGCCAGCTCAGCCACACACCCAGGCCTGGAGACACAGTTCCTTCCTCAGCGGTGATGCCATGGCCGCCTCCTCTGGGCCTCTCCCTGTGTGCCCCTCAGGGGCCCTGGTCCCGGGGCTGGTAGGTGTGTGTGTGGGGAGGGACCTGGCTGCCCTGCTGGGATGTGACTTGTTTGCAGGGACCACGTGACCCCCATGCGGGAGGGTACAGAGCACGTGGGCTGGGGTGTAGCCTGAAGCTGTCACTACTGATGGGACATTTTCTCCCAAAAGTAATCCCCTAATGTGGCCAGTTGGTTTCACGGTAAAATGCTGGTTTTGCTATTTGTTGATGAGAAAATCGAAGCTCTAGGTTGAGTCCCCCACACCCTCCTGAAGTCTCTCATGGCCCCGCCCACACCCAGCCAGCCCTCAGCAGTGGTGTTAGGACGCCGTCGGAGGCGGTGCCAGTCCCCTGTGCACCTCCCGAGGCCCCCAGTCCCACCCTGTTCCATGTGAACGGGGTCCCCTGGCAGCATGCGACCACCCCTATATCCCTGCTGGGCAGGCCCCTAGACCGGGTCAGAAACCCGGATTCTGTATGACGGGTGCTAACAGGCACTGTGACTGGTGTGCCTTGAGCCACCGCCTCCCCTCTGTGGGCCCCGGTGCCCTGGTGTCACCGAGGGAAGCCCCGTCCCCTTCTCAGGCCGGACGCTGCCTCCCGGTTCACACACTGAGACCCGGGTGGTGGGAGTCCAGGCAGGAGGAAGTGGGGGGATGAGAAGCGGACAACGGACAGTTGAACACCCTCTAATCACACAGTTGGGGGCTCCCCACTGCACCCACCGGTCGGCCCCCAGTCCCAGGGGGATGAGCAGGCCTGATCCCGAGGAAGGGACAGGATTTGACGGGGAACCCAGCTCGCAGCCTGAGAAGTGCATGGGCTTGTGGGCGGGCCCTCTGAGAGCCTCCCTCAGTGGGCACACCGCCCTTCCGGGGAGGGAGAGGAGGGGAGGGCAGGGGAGGGACGGGGTGCACTCCACGCAGCCCCTAACCCAATGGAGAGGAGAAGAGAGAGAGGATTTCACGGGGCCCCTTTCTCTGCCATGTGCAGGCGGGGTCAGCCCCCACCGCTCTGAGGCTGCAGTGCCCCCCCCCCCGCAGTGTGGACACTCAGTGGACACACAGGCTAAACCCTGATCACCCTGAGCCTGGGCACATGAAGAAAGGCGCATTGTCTTGCCTCGGCCCGCCCTGCCCTTCGCAGAAGTGGCTGAAATCCTGGTATTGCTGTGGTTTTGTTTAGCAAACAAGGAACATGCAAAGCAGCTCCCGTGTGTGTGTGTGTGTGTGTGTGTGTGTGTGTGTGTGTCCAGCACCCACCCTCCCACTTCCCCAGATCTAGAAGGTGCAGGGCAAGGCCCCTCGCCCGGGGGTCAGGAGCCCATGGCAGGCCTGGCCCACGGGCTGGCTCTGGCCAAGTCCTCACCCCTGTGTGGGCTCCACCACCTTCCAGACCGGAGGGGGAGGGAGGTCTCCGGCCTTGTTGGCCCCGGCTCAGTGGCTGCTAGAGGCCCTTCCTTCTCCTCCGGCCCAGGAACTGGGAGCCCACCTCCCCATGCAAATGTCCAACCCCACCCACACCCTGGAACAGGCTTGTTCAGGGGAATTCTGGCTAAGGTAAACAGGAATGAACTAGGCTGGGGTCCTGCCCAGCCAAACCCAGAGCCGGGGAGTCCCCGGTGCCCCACGGCCTCAGAGCCCCGTGCGGACTTGAGGAAACACTCCCGGTGTCATTGGGAGGAAAGGTAAATGGAGCCCCGAAGAGCTTGGAATCAGAGATCCTGACCCAGCTCTGCACTCGCCCGCTGTGTGACCTTAGGCGAGTGGGCTGACCTCTCTGAGCCTTAGTTGCCCCTCTGTGAAACGGGAGAGTGGCACAGGTGAGAGGCAGTGTGTGGAAGCCCTGGGCTCTGCTCAGCACCTGGAAGTGACTCAGGGGTGCCCGCTGCTTGGGCCAGGCCTGGGCTTGGTGCAGAGCTGGAGCCCAGAGAAATGCCTTCTAGCAAGGGACAGCTACCCACAGACCGCCACCCGCCAGGCTCTGGGGGTCCTGAGCTGTGAGCGGAAGCCCCGGGAGCTCAGCGCTCAGAGGTGGGAGAATCTTAGACGGGAGTGACCGTGGGAGGGCGGCATTCGAGCCGGCCTTGTCCTCGCCCTGTGCTGGGCCTGCCCACTGCTGTGGGCACCTGGTCTCGGTCCTCCAGTAACCCTAGGAATGGACCGCTGTGCTCCCCATCGACAGAGGAGGCGCTCACCTGGAGTCCACAGCTCAGGAGGGCGGCGCCAGGCCTCACTCCGTCACATCGCAAAGCCCCTCTTGCCAATGCGCCAGCATTCCCCGGGCTCCAGGGACCAGGACGTGGCTGTCACCTTTGGGGGCCATTGCTCAGCCCATCCCAGTGATCAGGTGGATCCCGCTGATCACCAGGGTCCTTTTGGGAAGGAGGCAGGGAGGTGCAGGCAGAGGAGCCGGGAGGGGAGGCAGAGGTCAGCCTGTGTGCTTTGAGGCTGGAGGTGGCGGCCACAAGCCCAGGACTCCGTGGCCTCTGGAGTCAGAGCGAGCCATCTGCCCTGGAGCCTCTCTCGGGAGGTACCCCGTGACACCCCGAGTCTAGCCCTGGTGACTCACCTTGGGTTTCTGAACCTCTGGGACTGTGTGAGGATAAACTTGTGTTGTTCGGAGCCGCTGAGTTTGTGGCGACTAGTGGCAGCAGCCACAGGAAACAGACACAGCCCCCGCTACGTGGCCTCGGACCTTGTCGCACCGTGTGGTGCCCAATGCTTCTGCTCCGGCCTTTTCCATGTGGCCAGGGCACTCGGCCCCCAAGCTGAGTGAAGACAGCTGCCCCTGCATTTCAAAGCTCCCCCTGCCCCTCCCACAGCCTCACACCCCAGCTTGCACCCAGGAGGCACTTAGTGAGTGCTGCTCAGATGTTCGTAAAATCTGTGTCTTTATTTCCATTTACAGCGGTTGAGGGGAACAGGCTTTTGACAGCATGAACTACTGGTTTCTCCAGCTGGGGGGCCTGAGGGCAGACTAAACCCCCGCTGAGCGCCCGTCAGAAGTGGGGGGCAGCCAGCAGGTCTGGCTGAAGCAGAGGGGTGCTGGGCATCCCACCGGGCAGGAGGTGGCTCTGACCGTCTGGCAGCCTGACAGAGGCCCCTAACGAGGAGAGGGACCGGGTCCCGGCACTGCGGGCAGAAGGCACCGGGAGGATTTCTCCGTGGGCCCCAGCTCTGTGGGTCTGGTCTGATCGTGGCGTCGCTGTCCACGTGGGGCTGCTCTGGCCTTCTGGGCTCTGCCCTGGGGAAAGCACCCAAGTTATCCTACCTCCAGCGCAGCTCCCACACTTTCCAGCGGGAGAACCACTGGTCCAGAGAGGGAAAGCGAGTTGCCCAAAGTCACACAGCGGTTTTGTGAGTCTCAAAAGAAGCTGCAAGACGGTCCCGTGCAGCGTTGCTTCTGGGAGACGGGGTCCGGCGCACCAGGCTGGCCTCCCTCGGGGTGGCAGGCCCAGGCCGGGCCGGGCGGGCGGGAGGGCACCGCCTCACTTGAGGTTGTGCTGGCTCTCGCGGTGCCGCCGCAGGTCCACCTTGCGCTGGAAGCCCTTGGTGCAGAGCTCGCAGCTGAAGGGCTTGAAGCCCGTGTGCTTCCGGCTGTGGGTGATGAGGTTGGAGCTCTGGCTGAAGGCCTTGCCGCACACCTGGCACTTGTGTGGCTTCTCACCTGCGGGGCAGCAAGGACCGCGTCAGGGCCGTCTGCGCCCCAGAGCCCTGCCCTGCGTTTGTTCTCTGGAATTTTATTATGTTTTATCTCAGGACCAACCACCTTTCACTCTGACACCTCCCCACCCCGCACCAGATTGTACCCTGGTGAGGGCGGGGGCTGGATCGCTCTGCTTTATCAATCTCACGCAGCCCCTGGCACAGAGCCGGGTACAAAAGGGGCACTCAGTTGACAGCCGAGGAGTGAATGCATGAATGAGTGAAAAATGAACCTGCTAGTCTCACTTCTACCCTAACCCTAACACTGCTGACTTGTGCTGGTTCCTTCCAGCATTTTCTCTGTGCATTAAGTGCGTGTAAGCCACACAGTGCCTCCAGCCCCATGTACCTGACCCCATGGCCCTAAAGCCGGGACCTTGTAACAGTGGGAGGTGGGGGTTCCCAGGGGCTCTGGCGGGTGGCGCTGGCTGGCGGCCTCACCCGTGTGGATGTAGGTGTGCTTCTTCATGTCCGACTTCTGGTGGAAGCGCTTGCCGCAGAACTGGCAGGGGTAGGGCCGCGTGTCCGAGTGGATGAGCAGGTGGGTGGACAGCGTGGACGAGCGCTTGAAGGCTTTGCCGCACATCTGGCACTCGAAGCTGCGCTCCTGCCGGGGGAAACGAGGCCCTGGGGGGTCAGGCGCCGGCGCAGGACTGGACCCGGCCGGGATCCCCTGAGGAACAGGACAGTCTGTTGGGGTGGCCTGGAGGGGCAGGCCCCAGGGCCCCCCTTCCTGCCTCCCTGGGTGGGCTGAGGCTCGGGCCCCAGTGGCCTCCTGTGGGATTTTCCCTTGTGACGCTCACATTGTCCCACACAAAATTCATGGACGGATGGACCCACTGATCTGGGAGTGTGTTTTTTTAGGGAGGGCAGCGGGGGGTGTGGGGGGGTCACATTTCATGCCCCTTAACCCAGAGTTCCTTGAGGCGCCATGGCCATGGTGTGGTTTGGTGGAGGCCTGCTTCTGCCTTCTGCATCTCACTAGCTGCCTAGCCACCGGCAAGTCGTTTACCCGCCCTGAGACTCAGTTTCCTCATCTGCACTCGGGACAGGAGCAGCGATGACCTGGGACGTCGGGAGGATTGCAGGGAGCGACTGGCCCACGGTTCGTGCTCGCGAGTGCAACTCCCGCGAATGCAACTCTCGCGACATTTCCTGCTTCCCCCCCACCTGACCCCGGGCCTTCGGGCTCTGGCCATGGCGGCTGCTCTGCAAGCATGGGATCCCGAGGAAGGGCTTCCTGCCTCGGGGAGGGCTGCGTGGGACCAGGAAGCCTCACCGCCCTTCTGAGCCTCAGGCGCCCTGCTGCCCCGCAGGCCAAGGCCTCTTGCAGTTGTGCGGGAAGCCCCCTCGGTCCGTCGGGGTGAGGGAGTTAGGAGGGCACGGGAGGCTCGGACAAGGGCAGCAGGCGGGCGGCGAGGGACCCCAGGCCGCCTGAGGGGCGGGGAGACGGGCAGCCGCAGCCCCGGGCCTCCTGGAGGAGGCAGAGCCGAGGGTCCTGGCTCGGGGCCCACCTGCGAGTGGATGTGCGTGTGCTGCTCCAGGCTGACCACGTGGCCGAAGGTCTTGCCGCAGACGTCACAGGCGAAGGGCCGGGTGCCGCTGTGGGAGCGCCGGGCGTGCACCTCCAGCCCGTGTGGGGTGGAGAAGACCTGGGGGTGCGGGCAGCGCATGAGGCATGGGGGGCGGCGGCTGGGGGTCCCTTTCCCTCTGTGGCTGGGCTCCCTGGCCGTAAAGTGGGTCTTGGGGGTCGGAAGGCCCCTCGCTGCCCTCTCTGGAGCTGAATCGGCAGCCCAGGGGTTAAAGGCCACAGTGGGCCGGAGGCAGGCGTGCACCTGGTTCTGATCGCGCCTTGCTGTGTGCTCTTGGGCAGGTGAATTGCCCTTTCTGAACCTGCGAACGCCTCCCCGGGCTCATGCGTGTCACGTGCTCAGCACAGGGCTGGGCACACGGTCAGGGCTCAGGGACTGGTGGCGGGGACAAGGCTGTGAGTGGGTCCAGTGGGCACTCTGGGGCTTACACACTGACTCCCTCAGCGCAGGGGAGGGGGTGGTCGCCCTGCGTTTAAACCCGTCACCACCAGGCCCGATCCACCAGGGGACCCGCAGTACACGGGGCCGCCCAGCGGCGTGCCCCCGCTCTGCCAGCGGGCCTGGACGGCGCTCACCTTGTTGCACTTGACGCAGTGGTACGCGTCCAGGCCCGGCGAGTAGCGCAGGCTGAAGTCCAGGGGCGGCTCGGCGCTGGGCACCAGGGGGCTGCCGTACAGGCTGACGGAGCGCTCCAGGAAGGCGGACTGCATGGTGGAGGGGGCCTGCCGGTAGCTGTGGTTGTAGGCTGAGGCCAGGGCGTCCCAGCAGAAGCTGGGCTTATAGAGCGGCGGGGAGCTGGAGGCTGGCGAGTCCCTGTCCGGGGGTTGGGACGTCCCGGCAGGACCCTCTGTGGAGAGTGGGACACGGGCCTGGTGGTGACGGGTTTAAACGCAGGGCGACCACCCCCTCCCCTGCGCTGAGGGAGTCAGTGTGTAAGCCCCAGAGTGCCCACTGGACCCACTCATCAGTCCACTAGCGGCTCCCCCACCCCACACCGAGTCCTCCCGGAAATGGGGTCCGGCCAAGGAGGGCCCACACAGAAGCCCGAGAGCCCAGCAGCCCTGACTCCCCGACTCCGAGCTCCCTCCACCCCTCGCACTCACTGGGGGGTGGCTGGGGGCCGTGGGCCAGGTACCTGGTGCAGAGGCCATCCTGGTCCAGCTCTGGTCCAGCTCCAGCGCTGGCTCCCGTTTGAGGTCGGGCCAGTCCAGGTGCGGGCCCGGGAGCAGGGTGCCGAGGGCAGGGTGGCTGCTCGGGACCTGGTCGCTGGCCACTGTGGGAGACAAGGTCCTCAGCACCCCCGGCCGCAGCCCTGGGAGGGACCCAGCGGGAGGACTCGCTCCCTGGGAAGAGGAGGGGGCCTGGAGAGAGTGGTGGTGGCTCTGCCCAGATGGGGGGTGGCTGGAGGCAGGGGGGACCCCTGCAGAACTCCTGGACCATCTCGGTTTCTCGGAGCCCCGACCTTAGCCCTGGATCGGGCCTCATTTGCCACCCACACACCCTCCTCTGCAGCTACCGACCAGCTCCACTCCGAGCTCTCTGGCCCCCAGAGCTCAGGCGATGGGTGAACTCATGCATTCATTCATTCATTCATTCAGCCAGCCAGCCAGCCAGCAGGGACAGGTTCCCTGTGCCCAGGCCTGGAGGGGGGTGCCGTGGCGCAGGGCCGGGGTGCAGCGGGGACCGGGGTGCAGCGGGGTGCTGCAGTCACTCACCCGGGCTCAGGACGGGCGGCCAGAAGGGTTCATTGTCCTGGACGCGGGGCTGGTGGTAGGTGTGAGCCTTCTTGCTCTTCACCAGGAAGGAGCGGGGCATGGTCAGCGTGCACCCTGCACCTGCAAGGGGAGAGGTGAGCGCGGTGAGGAGGGCAGCCTCCCCCTGCCGTCGGAATCCACTGCCCCCAGAAAGTTCTTGTCCACTCAAACCCTGTGAACGTGACCTTTTTTAGAAGGAGGGTCTTTGCAGAGGTGATCAAATTAGAGGTTGCACTGGATTAGGGCCGCCACGTGGAGGTGGAGGCGGGGATTGGAGTGATGCGGCCACAAGCCAAGGAGTGCTGGTGGCCCCAGAGAGGCGGAGGCACACTCCCAGGGGACCCGCAGTGGGAACAGGCCTCGCCGGTGCCTTGTTTCTGGTTTTATAGACTTCGGAACCTGGGAGAATATCCTCCCGGGCCTTCTCTGCATGCCGGGCACCCGGGCTGGAGGAAGCCCCTCCCCGGTGGCAGGGCGATAGGGCCAAGCGCGGGAAAGGGATGGCGGCTGCTCTGAGCCACAGCCAGGGCCGGCGATAAGGCCCGGCGGCTGCCCCTGGAGGCGGGAGATAGGCCGGCGTGGAGCTCTGCCTGCAGAGCGAACCCAGGAGTCTCCAGGAGTGTGCCTCCCCCCCCCGAGCCAGGAGGAGAGGGACCCCAACGGTGCCCAGAGCCGCCCAGCGGCCTCAGGAGGCTGGGCAGTGGCCACCCTGCCTGTGGCCGGCCCAGGCCTCGCCCTCCTTGCTGTCTGCCTCGGTGCCCAGCCCAGTGTGCTGGGATTGCTGGCAAGAACGGACCTTCATTATTACAGACAGGCGTGTGCAGTGCTCAGCGTGGTGCCTGGGCTGCAGGGAGCACCGAGCGCTGGGCATCTCAGGCCAGGGAAGACTCGCCATGAACCAGGAAGACTGGCACGGCTCAGGCCTTTCCTGTCTCACCCCATCCCCCTCCCCCTACCCCTCCTAGCCGGGGCCACGGCAGTCACGCTCTGAGTGGGGACACGCCCTGACCAGGCCCAGGGGCCACGTTCCAGGCGCCCCCTCTGGGCTCTGAAATGAGGGATGGTTGTGGGACTTGACGGCTCTGAGGTCTGTCCAGCTCTCAGACTTTTTTAAAGTATATTTTTTTTTGTATTGATTTCAAAGAGGAAGGGAGAGAGAGAGAGAGAGAAACCTCAATGATGAGAGAGAATCATGGGTTGGCTGCCTCCTGCACGCCCCACACTGGGGATGGAACCCACAGCCGCCGGCATGTGCCCTGACCGGGAATTGAACTGTGACCTCCTGGGTCATAGGTGACACTCAGCCTGCGGCCCGGCCAGCTCTCAGATTTGGGCCTCGCAGGCCTGCTGTCCTCCCCGGCCCGCCGGCAGCCCGCGCCGCCTTATCTCCTGGGGACAGTCCTCTTCCTGCCTCGGCCACCGGCCCGCAGCCCCTTCTGCCCCTCCTCATTCTTCAGTGCCCTGGCGAGGCCGGCGAGGGGGTTCGGGTGGAGACCCTGCCCGTGCCCTTTGTTCTGGGAGCCTCCTGGGCCGCTCTATCTCTGCATCAGAAGGCGGTGGTTTATGTGGCGTTTATTTACTGAGGCAGGCGACCCGCCGTCTCAGCTCGCTCACCGCCCCCATTTCACAGAGGAGACACCGAGGCCGAGAGGCGGGCTCAGATCCCAGGGCCGAGTGAGGCGAAGCGGGCCCGGGCGTCCAGCCCAGGCCCCACGCTCCCGACCACCAGACAGGGCCTGGGGGTTCGGGGGTTGGGGGAGTGCTTATCCCGTGCGGAGGGAACCGAGGCGACAGGCACGGAGGACACCGGACAGGGCTGAGAGCTCCTCAGTGCGCTGTCATCAGATCCCACACCCACGGGGCCAGGGAAGCTGCGATCGGCTTCCTGGGTCACAGGGTAAACTGAGGCTGGAGAGGAAAGAGGCCGGCCAGGGTCTCTCCGCGCCTGTCCCGTGGGACCTGCCCCCAGCCCGGCGCTCAGCATCGCGGCCCATGACCTCAGGCCAGGGCGCTCAGGCTTGGGAGCTCCGTGGGCCAGTGGCACCAGAGAAACTTCCTCCGGCCTGTGAACTGAGCTTAAAAAAAAAAAAACCCAAAAACAGGAAGCGATCACCTGTTGGGAGTTAATGAACAGCCGTCCTGATTCACGGCCGGAGAGGCGGGAGAGCAGAGATTGTGAAAGCCGGGTTTCTTCACGATCAGCCGTGATGGTATCGGCTCCGGAAAGCGACTCTGTTAGCATCTCCTCCAACCCCGTCAGCGCGGCCCGGCCTGAACCGGAGCCTCGGCCGAAAGCCCCGAAGGGGGGCCCGCACCCCGACTTCCAGGTGGAGCAGCAGGCCTGTGATTTCCGAGCCCCGGCGCCCCCGAGGGGCCGCGTCTGGTTTGGCGACCCTGAACTTGCCCGCGGGGCCGCCCGCCGCCTGGCTCTCCCCTCGAGGGACGGTTGGACGAGGTTTCCACACTTCCCTTTGCTGGGACCCCACGCGCGCCGTTGCCGTCGGCACAGGGCGGCCCACCTGGCCAAGGCGCCGGTCCCCGGGTTCCCCTTTTGGGAGTTGGGTAAGAGCCCGCTCTTCTCAGAGCCGCTGCCCCTGGACTTCCTTTTGTTTGAAGACCAGCTCAGGGGAAACAAACAGGCCGCCCTTCCCATGAAGGAGCGGGGAAGTGAGTGGGGTCACCGCGGGCGCGGGCAGCGGTCACTTTCTGTGAAGCTCGGAAGGCGTGCCCAGAGGCGCCCTCCCGCGTCAGAGAGCGCGGTGTCAGAGCGAGGCTGGAGGCTCCATGGTTAGGGCCCAGCCCCTGCTCCAAAGGGTCACGGGTTCGATTCCCAGGCAAGGGCATGGACCTGGGTTATAGGTTCGACCCTTGGCCCCAGGCAGGGCGTGTGTGGGAGGCAACCAGTCCATGTGTCTCTCTCACATCGATGTTTCTCTCTCTCTCTCCCTCTCTCTCCTCCTCCTCCTCTCTCCCTCCCTCTTTCACCCCCCCCCCTCTCTCCCTCTCCCCTTCCCCTCCTCCCTTTCACTCTCTCTAAAAATCAGTGGAAAAAATACCCTCGGATGAGGATTTTTTAAAAAGTGAGTGAATCAGTACAGTGTCTGGGTGTATCCCCAGAAGAACTGAGAGCAGGGACTGGAACAGACACCTGTCCCAGCAGTGGTGTTCACAGTAGCCAGAAGGTGGGGGTGACCCAAGCGTCCATCCAGGGGCCCAGGGACGTGGGCCAACACGACCCACACTCCTGCCTAAAGGAAGGAAGTCCCCACCTGCCACGCGGGTGAACCGGAGGGCGTTACCCCGGGGAGACGCCGGGCCGGGACAGACCCGCACGGCTGGCTCCCCGCGGTGCCTGCAGCAGCACATGCGGACGAAAGGGGCACATGGGTGCCGGAGGGAGGGAGGGTTACTGTTTAATGGACAGTTTCAGTTTTGCCAGCTGAGAGGCTGTACATGGGCAGCCGTGCCAGGAGCTGCGCGCCGAGAGTGGCCAGTTTCAGGGTGCATGCATTCACCTCCGTGAGAGCAAAGTGAGCAGCAGGGCATGTCCTGCGAGTTTCTGCCTTAAAGACGAAAGCAGACACCCCCCCCCCCCCACACACACACACACACACACACACTGAATTTCTGGGAACAAATGAAGAGAAGCCTGGTTTTGGAGTGAGCCCAGCGCTGCTTCTGTAGCAGGAGAGCCGGCGAATTTCCCGGGGGAAGGGGGCGGGGGTGTGTGTGACCTGGGGGGACATGGCCCCCTGACAGCTGCCCCCCAGCAGCTCGGAGGCCCCCCCTGAGGACTTTCTGCAGGGAAACCAGCCCCATGTCTGAGCTGGAAGAGACCTCACTGGCCTCCTGTGGAGGCTCCGAGGACAGAAACCCAGGTCACGGAGAGATCGCTTCCCGCTGAGCACAGGTGCCCCCCCCCCCCCCCAATCCCAGCACAGAGGTGCACACCAATCCCTACCCCCCGGAATCCCGTGAAAGCTCCCGACTTTTCCCCAGAAAAAAGCCATGGCATGCGCCCAGAGCCAGTCCGTGCGCGGCCCCCATGGCTCCAGCGTGGTTTTTTCTCCCCGAAATGGAAGCAAAGGCGGTGACTCTGGTCCCCACCCGCAGCCCTGGAGGCTGGGGCGGTGCGGGGGCCGCCCCTCTCCCCCGGCAGGCGGCAAACGCACCTCGCTCCCAGCATCTCGCTCCCAGCATCCCGGGACTGTGGGCGCCAGGGCATAACTCCATGGCTCTCTCAGCCCAGACCCACTTCATGGGAAAGAAGGGCTTCAGCCCAGGACCCTGGGCCTGGAGACCCCCACTCAGGTCCCCGGCCTGGGTGGTGCCATGTGGGTCTTTGGGGGGTGGGTGTGCGTGGGCAGGAGTGACACCGGGGAGCCGAGGACCGTTTGGGAGGCGGAGGCATTCCTGCGTGGCTCAGCCTCCAGCCGCCTCCCCACCACCGCCTGGCCAGGGCTCGGGGGCCCAGAGCCAGGACCCCAAAGAGGTTGTGCCGCCCCTCCTCTCCCCGGGCTGCCCAGGGCCAGGGCCTGCGGGACAGTCGGACGTGCGGAGGGAGCAGCGCAGCCGGCAGGGCCACTCCACACTCACCTGTCCGAGTCGCGTCTCACCTCCCGGTCCTGCGCTGGCACCTGCAGCCTCTCTCTGCGGGTTGGTCGGCTCCAGCCGTCAGCCCGAGACTCTGCACGATTAGATACTTCTCCTTTTCTCTCTCTCTCTGTTGTTTTTTTCCCTCTTCTGTTCCCCTCCCTGATTTTCAATCTGATTATTTGTCAAAATCTGGCGGGGAGGGGCGGCCAATAGGAGCGGCTGTATTTGCTTATCGCAGCTCCGCAGGGCCGGGCTCTGTCTCCGTCTCACCCCGTCACCCCGTCACCCTCTCACCCTGCCACCCTCCGCCGCTGCTGTCCCCTGGAAGCTCCGAGAACATCTGGATGCAAGCACAGGGCAGCTCCATGATTCCACTTAAACATGAAAGTTGAAATGACATTTACTTGTAAACCGGATTTTATATCCAGAACTTAAAACTTTAATTTTTCTTTTCTTCCCTCTTTT